GTGAACTTGGCGGTTAGGCGGGCCAGCGGGTTAAACTTTAATACCTAATTGAATGAACATGAAAACGTTATGATACATTTCCTAGCAGTGTGAAGTGGGCGGGCTGACAGTGTAGCGGGCTAGCAGTGTGAATTGGGCGGGCTGGTGGGCCAGCGGGTTAAACTCTCAAAGTTAACTGAGTGAACATGAAAACGTTGTGATACATTACTTGACAGTGTGAAGTGGGCGGGCTAACAGTGTAGCGGGTTAGCAGTGTGAACTGGACGGGCTGGCGGGCCAGCGGGCTAAACGTTAATACTTAATTGAATAAACATTGAAACCTTATGATACATTTTCTAGCAGTGTAAGCTCGGCGAGCTTACAGTGTAGCGGGCTAGCGGTACAAATTCTGCGCGCTAGCAGTCTAGTGGTCTTAATTCCATACTTAATTATTTGAACACTAAAACCTTATGATGCATTTGCTGGCAGTGTAAATTCGGCGGGCTTACAATGTTTGTTTCATATGGTAGACACGATCCTTGAGAATTGTCACAAATATGTACACTAAATGTTTTAAAATCAGTATTGATATTCAAATGATGTATTATATACAGAAAAAACGAAGTACTTATAACATACTTTTATAATATAATAAGTACTAAAACCAAAACTGTTATACTTCAAGCCCAGCCAATTCCACGTAAAATCCCCATATAGTGAGGAAACTCTGATGGTACATCTGTCGGTATCGGTATGCCGTCGCTTTGTGGTTTTTCACAATTTGACATTCGTAATTAGATTTGTGAAAATAGTGCAGGAAGTACCGAAGATGGCCCATTTCAGAAGCATATCTGGATCTTTTATGTGCCCGATGTAAAGCACCGATACACGGGACCTCGATTTAAAGTCCCATCCGAAAGACTGTTGGTAATGTTAGGGAGGAGCGGGGGATCGAACTGTATCATAACGTTTTCATGGTCATTCAATTAAGTATTAAAGTTTAGCCCGCTGGCCCGCCATCCCGCCCAGTTCACACTGCTTGCCCGGTACACTGTTAGTCCGCCCACTTCACACTGCTAGAAAAATGTTTCATAACGTTTTCATGTTGATTCAATTAAGCATTAAAATTTAGGCCCCTGGCCCGGAAGACCGCCCAGTTCACATTGTAGCCCGCTACACTGTTAGCCCGCCCATTTCACACTGCTAGAAAATGTTTCATAACGTTTTAATGTTGATTTTATTAAATATTAAAGTTTAGCCCGCTGGCCAGCTCAGGTCACACTGCTAGCCCGCTACACTTTTATCCCGCCCACTTCACACTGCTAGGAAATGTATCATAACGTTTTCATGTTCAATCTGTTAAGTTTTAGAGTTTAACCCGCTTGACCGCACCCCGCCCAGTTCACACTGCTTGCCCGCCCACTTTACACTGCCAGGTAATGTATCATAACGTTTTCATGTTCAATCAGTTAAGTTTTAGAGTTTATCCCGCTGGTCCGCCAGCCAGCCCAGTTTACACTGCTAGCGCGCTACACTGTTAGCCCGCCCACTTCACACTGCTAGGAAATGTATCATGAGGTTTTAATATGGATTCAATTAAGTTATAAAGTTTTACCCGCTGGCCCGCCAGCCCGCCCATTACACACTGCTAGCCCGCTACACTGTTAGCCCACCCACTTCACACTGCTAGGAAATGTTTCATAACGTTTTCAAGTTGATTTAATTAAGTATTAAATTTAGCCTGCTGGCCCGCCAACCCGCTCAGTTCACTCTGCTAGCCCGCTACACTGTTAGCCCGCCAACTTCACACTGCTAGGAAATGTATCATAACGTTTTCATGTTGATTCAATTAAGTATTAAAGTTTAGCCCGCTGGCCCGGAAACCCGCTCAGTTCACACTGCTAAACCGCTACACTGTTAGCCCGCCCACTTCAAACTGCTAGGATATGTATCATAACGTTTTCATGTTGTATCAGTTAAGTTTTAGAGTTTAGCCCGCTGGCCCGCCAGCCCGCCCAGTTCACACTGCTAGACCGCTAGACTGCTAGCCCGCCCAGTTCACACTGTTATCCCGCTAGACTGCTAGCCCACCCAGTTCACACTGTTATCCCGCTAGACTGCTATCCTGCTCAGCTCACACTGTTAGACCGCTAGACTGCTAGCCCGTTACCCCGCGTACTTCACGACCATGTTTTACTCCTGTTTTACTGCATAATTGTATAACATGCGACAGAAATCGATATGATTTAAGAGTATGATCAACGCCATTGAAACGAACATGCACACGCACACGCACATACGCACGCACACACGCACACACGCACGCACACACACACACACACACACACACACACACAAATAGCATTTTAAAAAATAAAAATAGTTTTATTTTAAGACCTAATATGCCTTTAAGACATTTTAATACTTGACAATTTTACAATTTATAAATATAATTATGAATTGGATCGATTTTCATTACTAATTTATTACAAAAAAAAATACATTTTTTGTAAAACATCACGACAATATATATGTTAGTTCAATGTAAGTAGATGACTTGTATCCAGCTAGTCTTTAATGATATGAGTGATAATATGATATACAAGTTTGTCGATGTCTATCAGGATATTGCATTAATCATTTAAAAGAATTTCACTTAAATGTTCCATTCTGATATATATACAGTTTACATTTGAGAACAAATCATATTTCTTCTGTCAAAGGGTAGAATAAATAATAAACTCCTGGCGTTAAATTGCAATATATACGAAGAAAAAGCCTAAAACATAAATACATGATTATAATGCAAGTTAATTAAAACATACATAAAATACAACAATTAAACAATTGAACGATGCAAATAAAAATTATTTCAAGTAAATGAATAAAATGAAAATAATCTTACCACAGCGTCTCAATACAAAAAGTAAATAACATTATAATAAGTTATAGTCTATCAAAAATTCTATTAAATAAACTTATAAAATCAATGTAATCTAAACTCGTAAGAGAATAAAGACCAAGTGAGCTGGAGAAGGAAAGTTCGCGGGAATTTGGAAGAAAGGAAAGGCTAAAAACCAATGTAAAACCTCTCAAATCTCTTTCATGAATACAACGTACAACACGATTGGACATACAAAAATAGTTCACACGTTGTTGTCTATTTCCTGTCATACTTTCAGTGAGATAGTTTGTTTGTTTGTTTTGGCTCATATCGTTTTAAGTCAGGGTATCGCATTGTAACATGGCCAGCGATTGGCTGAAAAAGTGCAGGGAAAACCAAATGATTCAATTTATACATGAGGTGATTGGATTAAAATGGGTTATTTTTAAGTATAAAAACTAATTTAAAAAGTAACACTACATTGTTTTCTGAAGAAAATGAAAAAATTCAGAGGTCTCTATATATGATAATTTTGTCTTGGATATTTGCATTTATAAAAAGTGTATGTTAGTCCTGTGATCAGCAGAAAATTTCAACGAAATGGGGGGGGGGGGGGTAATCCTTTGCAAAACATTTGGTTGGCTACCCCTATATAACAGGAACATTTTTATGTGTCAGGCATTTCATTCTGCTAGAAAAATCACCTCTTTAGCATGAAAACTCAATTTTAAGGTAGGATTAGGGACCATTTCTTATAATGTAAGTCTATGGAAATATTAATGTGCGTGTCTGACCTTTAGCCGTTTTCATACATGAAGTAGCTGGTTATATAATACCACTACAACTGTATGACAGTATTTGTTAATAGACATTGACTGAATCTTCAGCCTTGAACATACGTGTTTTTTTTTTCTTAAAAAAATAAACCAATAAAGAAAGAAGTGGATAAAAAAATATGAATAAAAAAATATGAAAAAAGAATAAAAAAATGCATTTCTTATTTTCATATTGAAATTGTTTTCGCTAGACATTTTACAGTATTTGTACACATACGTAACTGTACAACAATTCAAAGGGTAGCAAAAAATCGTCATTACATTTAATCTGTAAATTTCGTTACAGTTATGCTCAATCTAAATTTTTACAATGAAAACAAATAAGCATTTTGACCGTTCCGCATTATTTTTTTTCAAGAGCTATTACATATGTATATCACATGGCATACCTCCAATTCGATACTATTCTAGTATTTTTAGTATAGAAAGTATGATATTTTTTCATCGAAACTGTTTAAGCAAAAGCATTTGGTGTTCTACTATTTATTTAGCAGATCATTTATTTTGCTTCCCTCCCTGTAGTTGGGTTGATGTTGATTGACCACTTTTATAAAATTTTAACGTTTACTCCCTTGTAGAAAATTTAAGAAATCAGAGCAAAGACCAAAAAGTCAATGCGACGTTCATAGAACGCAGCCCCCGACAAAATCTAATCACACCAGCAGAGCACACAGAAGGCACCGCGGTGAAAGGAGGGGAGGGACATATATTAAGTTAAATGATAGAACGAAAAGGGGCAGACATTGGAACCAAAGGCGCAAGGGATGTAAGGGAAAAAAGTGGGAGGGCAGGGCACAAAACGAGACAAGAGGGTATGGAAAAAAAATACTTCCCGTTATCGACAATTTAACAAGATATGACTTACCTATCGGCTCCTTTGTTAAAAGCGGTCTAGTAAATCACTTTATTGTTCTATTGTTCTCTATACAAAAGAAAATGTGTGAAGTCGAGAAACTCGTGCATTACAGTACACAATATTCACCGTAAAATAACGGAGAGGGGGGATAATGACCACTTTGAATAGGAAAAAGGGTCGATATATAATTTAAAGATTAATCAAATAAATTAGCGCATACGGCTGTAAGTACCCTCATGACTTATATTCCAGATTATTTATGAGAAAACGAACTGGCTACTGTTCTGGCGTTGAAGTTTTGTGTTTCGCCGATATTAAGGAGTATAACAACGCACATTAAGCCTTTCTTTAAAGTTTGCTTGTCGGTATACCTAACACATTTGCCGAACTATATAGCTTCATAAGATTATTTCCACAACTATATCTGAATTTGCAAAATCCTACATTATTTTAACAATTCTGCATTATAGGATATATACGACGATTATATTATTGGTGCATATCGAATCAAAGTCAACTTCTGCATCTTTCTTTCCCAAAATATTACTTTCAGTGAGAGTATAGTTCATCTTAAGTATAAGACCGTTTTTCTCATTTTTTCCCAGTTATTTTTACATTACAATTTGGATTTTGTATACCAGTACCAAGAATACGACTTGCGCTTCCATTCTAGACCGCGTGCTTACATGCGGTCTTATAACGGATGATGCTAATTAAGAATACACGGAAAGAAAATTCTTCCAAACATGGATGAAATTCTAAGAACATTTAAAATCAGCCATCATAAAAAACAACAACAACAAAACCCAACTTACATAACGGTGTAACTACATGTATTACTAATATTTATTCATAGAACCCCGTCTTTTACTTTCCTTTGAAAAAATCGTATATTTTAATTATATAAGAAATAGCCTGATCATCTATTTACCATGAAATTTATTATATATAAAGATAAAGTGTTCCGTTTTTATGATTAGAAAACATTTTTATCTTCCTTAGTATTTGTTTATATTATTAATATGTTATGTATTCATATATCAAAATAATGATCTTACCTTTCCCTACTCGACAAGTTCTGTGACTCAACTCAACAAGTACATAACCTAATGAAACCCCACGAAAATCACGAGAATATTCAAATAACACCTGATTTGCGAACGAATGAATTACAAGAGCGTAGCGGATGGTATCTTTGCTTGGCTTAAGAATGCTTTCTTAAACATGATAAAGTACATAAGTAATATGTTTCTTGTGAGTAATATTAATAAATACTGAGTTAAAAACTGATGTATGGATAGAAAAACATAAGAGCATGTAGGTAAGATAGTTACCGCACTCGGAATAGGTCTGCATAGTATTTACAGACCCGGTGGCCTTTTAAAAAACCTCGATCGCTACGCTCTCTCGGTCTTCAAATCGCCACCCGGGTCTGTAAATACTATGCAGACCTATTCCTCGTACGGTAACTATTACATACATGTGAAAAAAAACACAGAGGGGTACTGCTATAAATATGTGTATATATTCACCGCTATTTCGAAGGTATACGCTTACATTAAAACGCATACTAGTGAATAGACTAGTCCAAGTTTAACGTTTCATCTACCACTTCATGTACTTGATACGCCGTGTTTAAGTTATCAAAGGGAAGTCACTAAAAGGACAGAAAAGAAAATGGCGACTGGAGGACGTTTAACCCATTCAAAGATTAATGCTTCCGATGAAGTAATTGAATATGATTGTTCTCCATGTACTAAGAGAAATAAGACAAACGAAGCTGTTGAATTTTGTGTGGAATGTCAGGAGTTTTTGTGTCCTCTATGTGTGGATAACCACAACAGTTTTTCTATTCTAACAGGACACTCCTTACTAGATAAATCACAGTTTGGATCTCTGGGGGGATCAGCTGCACCGAACGCCCCTCCGTTGCCGACAGAGAGGTGCAAGGTGCATTTAACGAAGTTAGTGGACATGTACTGCGCAAACCACGACGCTGTTGGCTGTTCTATATGTTTAAATATCGACCACAGGTATGTTAAAATTTAAGTTTTTATATTCCGATACTCTGTTATTAATATGTATTTTGCAACAACGAAATGATACATCCACCCGTTCGTAACTATGAATTTCTTATTTATAATCTATATATGCCTTGATACTAACTTTTTAACTTTTATGAGTCTAAAAATATCAAAATATTTGTTTACAGTTAAAAATAAAATTTGCAGTTTCCATGAGATAACTGTGACCTAACGGTTGATATATGTTTCAATTGACACAGATGTATAAACACCCCTATTATCACTCCTGTATATAGCCAGATGGATAGCAATTTCAGTTATAAAACCAGATTATGTTCTTTTTTTTTGTCTCTTTTCATAGAAATAATATCTTGGCAATGGATTTCAGAAGGGCAGAAATTGATAACCCGCAACCATTTAACGGATGTGCTTATAATTTAAGTAAATATTTACAAAATGAAACGTTGCAACGGTTTAAAATTACAGGAGGATTAACTTTGCAAATACAGTAAAATCCCTCAATTAAGACCACCATTCGAGACTGAACCAAAGTGGTCTAAATTGCGGGGTGGTCTTTATTGTGAATATTTTTATCATTGCTTACACACCTTTTGATAATAGTCTTTTTTAGTCATTTTGTTTGAACAAACAATGTGTACCTTAACCTACAAATACAATATAAAAGTATGTTATAATTTAACATCTGATGGGAAGGAAGAAATTTAATATCAAATTCTATTTGGTCTGATTTCAATATTATATCATTATATGATCCATCAAAAAAGAAATAAATTCTTCACCTAATCAATGTGCTTAATGCAGCATTCAACCACTTTAAAAGTTACTTATTTACCTTATTTCATACAATATCCCAATCATATAATTCGTGTTTTTGACACCTTGTGAAATCAAGTGTCCTGCCTTATAGCATTCAAGCAGATCATAGCAACATAACAAAAAATCAGATCTAGGTAGGTGTTGACTTTAAATCAGTGGTTTTAATAGTGGGGTCAAATAAAGAACAAAACAAAGAATTGGGACTGAATCTGGTGGTCTTAAAAGTGGATAAGCGAGGTGGTCTTAATTCTGGATCATGTAACCATTGAAATAAAGTACAGAAAGAAACTTCCGTACTTTAAAAAAGTGGTCTTAATAGCGGTGCGGTCTTAATTCCGTGGTGGTCTTAAGTAGGAATTCTACTATACTTGACTTAAATGTTCTTTCATGGGACAATACATGTTTTAATCATCTAATTTCCATATAAATGTATGAGCCTGTGCTTTTTTGGCGACATTTCATTTAAAAATTTATTGAATGATTATTTATCAAATTATTTCTTTTGTCAAACTTCTCCTGTTTGTTTGAATGTCAATATCTTAATCACAGATACTAGTATCAGATTGGTCAAAAACGTCAATTTGGTCATAAAAAAACAATGTTAATTAAGTGGATTTTTAAAAAATACTTTTTACGTTTATTTTGCTTTAGTATAAAGACTGATACTAGCACTTGTGTACATAATCAATATGCAGGTCTTTTGTTAGCTTCAAAACGATAGAAATATCCATTCAAGTCAGCTAAAGCATTTACAAATCAGACAATGATAAAAAAAATTATAATGTTATCTTTCTATAAATAGGATAAACTAGCTAAATATTAAACGTCGGATGTGGCCATTTATAAAAACAATATAGTCACCGCTATGTAAAAGGTTTCCGCGTATATTACAAGTCATTATTGAAACTTGATTCGCGTGTTTCTAAACATTTTCTAGTGAGCTTCTGGTGAAATTATGTTGTCTGTTGTACACCTCTATTCACAATTTGTTTGAACGACACATGTTCCGAAACCATTTTGTGAATTCACATCGATATTCTAAATTTGGCAATTCTAAGGAAATAAACTGGCAATTGTTTAGAAATTAGGGCCAAAAATATAATACTCATGCCAAATTTACAATAGTTAATTTCATTTGACCAAGGTGACGCAGACAGTATCAACTATCTATATTTATGAGACTGATAACTATTTTTTCTAGTTTGTACTTTTGTGAAGAAATAAACAGACAAAAAATGACATCGAATTAAGTATTTTTGTTTAATGTAAAATAAGTGTTGTCATCTATTCCTCCAGGAGTTGTCAGGATGTACATTACGTACCTACATATGTCCAGGGACTGGAGCCATCTTTGCAGACGTCGAGTTTAAAAAGTCAAGTTAATGCCACTATTGTGAAGCTGGAAAGTCTCATGAAACGGTACAAGGATACCAGGGGTGAATTTGACACGAAGAGGGTTTCTTCCCTGAAAGATATCCAAGAATTCAGAAAAGAAATCAACAAAACATTAGATCGATTAGAGAAAGCATCAGTACAAAACATTAACAAACAGTATAAAGATTTAGATATTATTTGCGAAAATGAAATGGCAGATATTCAAAGAATGCTTGATGCATTGAAAAGAGGTAAAATGTCGTTAGAATCATCTGTGACGAATGCATCACAGCAGTTTGTAGTTGATATAAAATGCAAATGCGATGTTGTATATTCAGAAAGTCTTCTAGGACGATCTATGATCCATGAATCAAAGTTTATACCATTTAAAGGAATCAAAGAACTTTTCGATTTTATAAAAACATTTCATTCCCTAGATCAGAGTATGCAACACAATCCACAGCAAATCAAGTCAAATAAAAAATTGTATAAATTAAAAAGTGCAGACACATTTGATATAAGACAAACAGACGAGATGTTATGTGAGATTCGATCAATGTGTATACTTGATTCTGGTGACATTCTAATAGCAGACGTTACGAACAAAGCATTAAAACTGATAGATGGTAAATCGTATAACGTTAAAGACTCACTAAAGGTTCAAGATCAACCGTCAGGAGTATGTAGAGGTCGGATTCATGAGGCGGTAGTGTGTTTAGAAAGTACAGGAATACAATTCGTTTCTACTAAAGAGAACCTTGTACTTACTCAGACATTAAGTATGAATCATGATTGTTTGGGAGTTTGTATGATTTCGTCTCGTGTATATGTCACTGACGGCCAAAATAGAAATATATTCAAGTACGACATAAACGGAAAACTTTTGAAAACAATATCTGGTGATAAAATATTTTCATGGAATCGATTTTTAGCTGGCAGTAACAACTTGAGGTCTTTATATGTAACTGATTGTGACAATGGACTGTTAAAACTTGATCTTGAAGGCAATGTTATTTGGAAACAGTCGGCAAATATTATTGAATCAGCATATGGTGTATGTATTGACGGACTTGATAATGTTTTTGTTACTGGTCATATTTCAAATAATGTTGTTCAAATTACTTCTGATGGAGCGTGTCTTGGAGAGGTGATTACAAAAGACAAGTGTGTCACTCGCCCCTTGGCAGTTTGTTTCGACAGACTGAAGTCAAAGCTAATTGTTGCAGGGCAACACACAGGAATGCTTCACGTCTATTTGTTGGAGTGAAAATACCACTTTCTTTGCATGAAACAAACGTTTGTGTTTTAGCAAATGTCTTGTAGAATTCACTGACCAAGAGAAAAACTATCATACTCTAAATTATATTTTAATGTGCACTTACATACATACATTTCTATCCAAGTTAGTTCAACGGGAGAAGTATTATTTTTTCACGTTAAAATATGATATTTATATATAAATACAATGTGCATGTACATGTATATATCAATATATATATATATATATATATATATATATATATATATATATATATATATATATATATATATATATATATATATATATAAATGAATAATAGTCAGTTCTAACTAAACTTTGTCGAGTGTTTGACATACTCGAAATAAAAGCGTTAAAAGTATTTTGCCTCTCACAGGTGTGGGTTCAATCAGAACCTTTTATCAAGGTAACGAACTATCCATGTAACTTCGGTAAGGTCACCAGTTCTACTCGGGTACTCATTTTAGATTATCTCCGCCTTCCATTTCGAAACCTTGACACCGTAACATGTTTAAAGTGTGTCAAACCGATTTAGATACCAATCAGAAGTGAATCATTTTATTTTTAGTTTACCAAAATAATTTATTTTCTTAAAGAGATCATTCTTTGTGTATTTTTCATCTTAAATATGTTAAACCATTTCCTTTATTTAATACCATCTCATTTTATTTTTCAATAAAAATCAATAAATGTATAATGTTTTTACAAAGCAAATTATAGTAAGTGAATATTTCTGCAGCAATGCATTTCATTGTTCTAAAAACTATAGTTTACAAACAGTAAATAAACATTTCAATAATGGTTTAAAACACTTACAAACGTACAATCATGTACAACTTCACGATCATTGAAAACACAACAACAACACACATATCGCAAAGTCAAATAATTACGGATCCCAAATATACCAATGAGTAACATTAGTATCAATAAAATGTACTGAAATAGAATGTCTCACGTCTTAGGTCCCAAAAATCGATAGTCATAAAGTAAATAGTTAGTCACAAAGTGTAATTATACTGAAATGAATGTCTTACGCCTTAGATCCCATTAATCGATAGTCATGAAGTAAATAGTTAGTCACAAAGTGTAATTATACTGAAATGAATGTCTTACGCCTTAGATCCCATTAATCAATAGTCATAAAGTAAATAGTTAGTCACAAAGTGTAATTATACTGAAAATGAATGTCTCACGCCTTAGATCCCATTAATCGATAGTCATAAAGTAAATAGTTAGTCACAAAGTGTAATTATACTGAAATGAATGTCTCACGCCTTAGATCCCATTAATCGATAGTCATAAAGTAAATAGTTAGTCACAAAGTGTAATTATATGAAATGAATGTCTCACGCCTTAGATCCCATTAATCGATAGTCATGAAGTAAATAGTTAGTCACAAAGTGTAATTATACTAAAATGAATGTCTCACGCCTTAGATCCCATTAATCGATAGTCATGAAGTAAATAGTTAGTCACAAAGTGTAATTTATACAGAAAATGAATGTCTCACGCCTTAGATCCCATTAATCGATAGTCATGAAGTAAATAGTTAGTCACAAAGTGTAATTATACTGAAATGAATGTCTTACGCCTTAGATCCCATTAATCGATAGTCATGAAGTAAAATAGTTAGTCACAAAGTGTAATTATACTGACATAGAATGTCTTCACGCCTTAGATCCATTAATCGATAGTCATAAAGTAAATAGTTTAGTCACAAAGTGTAATTATACTGAAATGAATGTCTCACGCCTTAGATCCCATTAATCGATAGTCATGAAGTAAATAGTTAGTCACAAAGTGTAATTATACTGACATAGAATGTCTCACGCCTTAGATCCCATTAATCGATAGTCATGAAGTAAATAGTTAGTCACAAAGTGTAATTATACTGAAATGAATGTCTCACGCCTTAGATCCCATTAATCGATAGTCATAAAGTAAATAGTTAGTCACAAAGTGTAATTATACTGAAATGAATGTCTTACGCCTTAGATCCCATTAATCGATAGTCATAAAGTAAATAGTTAGTCACAAAGTGTAATTATACTGAAATGAATGTCTTACGCCTTAGATCCCATTAATCGATAGTCATAAAGTAAATAGTTAGTCACAAAGTGTAATTATACTGACATAGAATGTTTTACGCCTTAGATCCCATAAATACGAGATAGTCATAAAGTATAACAGTACTGAAATAGAATGTGTCACGTCTTCAATCAAAAAGTGGTTTCCTCAGCCATAAGGTGGCGCAATCAATGATATACATAGTCACAACACGTTGGTCTATACTATGAAAAAAGCATCCCGATAAATGTTTCTGCTTGATGATTCGATATATTTTTGAGTTATCTCCCTTAAGTTAGACTAGAACTTCTAAACCATTTATGATACTACATTTAACTAATGAAAGATATTTCTGTAGTATAAATGAACCATATCTCTTCATTACTTTTAATTTTCATTATCTCCCTTTATAATATTAAATTGTGTTTGTCCGGAGAATAACGTTAAAAGTATTGACGGTATTTGATTATAGCTTCAAACAGTGAAGAAAGAGTATAGTTAGAGAATGTGAAGTGTTCAGGAATTATAATTCTGCCTTGCTTACTGTCTTTATTTTTTGTACTGATGTGCATTGAAACATATTGACATTTTGTGCAGATCAGAAGAGCCTTAAGCGATATTGTTGCATTCCAACAACAAGCAGAATATTAGCAACAAATGAAAATAAACACAGGTATAATTACAGAACAAAACTAGTACAAACAAGTTGATGTCCGACTACGATAATAATGTGTAGCATTTTGCCCGCACCATTTGCGAGCACACTTAAATATTATGTGTGTAAAATTGTAATAATATGTAAATACATGTAATGAGTTAATTTATACAAAAAATTTTAGTTATCGTAAATCCATCGTCGGTTACCCACGGTTTATATTCCGTACATACTACATTATCTGTTACACGCGGTATATATTCCGTACATATTACATTATATGTTACCCACGGTACTCCGTACATATTACATTATCGGCTAACGACGGTACTCCGTACATACTGCGTCATCGGTTACCCACGGTATATATTCCGTACATATTACATTATCTGTTACCCACGGTACTCCGTACATACTGCATCATCGGTTACCCACGGTATATATTCCGTACATACTACATTATCTGTTACCCACGGTATATATTCCGTACAATCTACATAATCGGTTACCCACGGTACTCCGTACATACTACATTATCTGTTACACGCGGTATGTATTCCGTACATATTACATTATCTGTTACCCACGGTACTCCGTACATATTGCATTATCTGTTACCCACGGTACTCCGTACATATTACATTATCGGTTAACGACGGTACTCCGTACATACTGCATCATCGATTACCCACGGTATATATTCCTTACATATAACATTATCTGTTACCTATGGTAAAATACTTTGATACCTTAGTTGGTAACTAAAGATAAACATATAAAATGTATTTTCTTCTCAAATCTACAATACCCAAATTTTAGACATCTGTCATGTAGCATCATCACCTTGTGGTTCTTTAAAAAAGCTTGGTAAATTGTGCACATTGGGTAAAAATTGGCCCAGCTTTAGCAGAACTTTAGAAATATTTCATAAATCATGCAGCTGCTGTGAAAAATGAGACACTCAATTTTTATCCTGCATCGAAAAATTGTGACTTTTATTACGATGGATCACAGATAAGCAATTTCGGGTCTCAATGGCTACAACGTTTTCTTCTTACCTACGATTAACGACTCGGTCAGTCAGTTTACAGTGACCACAAATGGCATCACTCTTGAGGGTCAGATGTTCAATATTAAGGAGAAAATCACGTAAATTCCACGTATATAACATAAAAATAAATAATTAGATGTAAGCATACAAGAATGTATAATAATATACACAAGGAATGTAAGTGGAAGAAGAGTCATACAGGGTTATCATTTGATAGAATGGTAAATATTGGAAACCTTAAAGAAAGTCGAAATTTGAAAATGTTGTGGACTCAGTTTGATTGAGCCTAACCATGAACATAAAGATGTAAATCTGTTATTATAAAACCGGTAATCTACTACTATGTGCTTAGATTTCAAAACGAAAAATCAGAATAATTTGATGTCCATTTATGAGAGAAGTGCAGAAGAAATATGATACAAACAATCATGTCTTAAAGGTACATAAAGCTTCAGAAATGATAAAAAAAAACATTCTGGAGAAAAGGGGCAAATATGTATTTTAAAATGTTTAGCAAATTGGTTGAAAACATGTTAATGCTTATCATCTGAAGAGAAAAGCGCTTAATATGAAAAATCTTATGATATAAAAAGTAAAATGAAAGCAATATACTTACAATAACTGTACTAATTGCCAAAAACAGATGAAGAAACTGATTGGTTAGCTTTATGGTCAATGAGTAACTTTTTGAAACTGTAACACACACAAAAACACACACAGGCGCGCGCGTGCGCGCACACGCACGTACGCACGAACGAACGCACACGCACACACGCACGCACGCACGCATACACGCACACACGCACACACACACACACACACACACACACTGAAAAAAATCCACATGCAAAACCCTATAGCTTAACAGTGATGTTGATCATTATTCCTGTAAGTTGGTTGATTCTAACTCAGGCACTAAAGGAACAAATAACACAACATAATTGAAAGATTTTTACTACGTCAAGGGCAATAACGCAAATTACAAATTTTACTAACTCAAGGGCAATTACTCTATAAATACAAAATAAATCCACACGTAAATGCCCAGGTGCACAACGTCACATGTTGAGCAACATTCTTGTAATGTTTCATGACGCTAGGTCAAATTATTTTTGAGCTATGTGCGACACAAAATGAGAACTGATGGACGAACGGATGGACGGACGGACGCACAAAAAAGAAAGAAAAAAATCTAGAAATCAAGTATGCTAATTTAAGTTCGCAATAGCTTACGGCTCTTCTGCCATCTTCAGTGACATGTATTACCGAATATAAATCAAAACAAAGGGAGTTCCGTTGCGTTATGGCGCTGCTTGAAATTGCCCCCTGCTGCATTATTTCTTAGTATTCTTAGCGGACCTTATGGTGGGTAAGGTCTATGTGTTCTTGCCTTATTTTTCTCAGTTGTTTGATTACTTTTCTGATTTTGTCGTTCCCCTTTAATTTTTCAAGCCCAATAATCGAAAAGACACTGGTAATGTGATCATTTGTGTGAAAATGTGACGCTACCGATCGTTGTATTTGGTTTTTATACAATTTCATTTGTAATAAAATAGAAGCTTAAAAAGTGAGAGGGCATGAAGTGGAATCCCCTCTGCCCCCCCCCCCCTCTGGAAAAACAAAGCAGTCTGAAGAACAGCTAAATCCCTTCCGCAGTGAATATGACAGAGTACCTCTTGACCTTTTACCAACAATGACCTTTACGTTGTACCATGCATATCATAAGCACATATCCTCACGATTATTTGTGCGAAGTTATTTTAAATCTTCCATAAAGTCAAAAACTTATGGAGAACATATAACTTTGACCTTCGGGATAGCAACCTGGATGTTGAGCTCTACAGATTGTATCATGGTGGGGATCATTTGTGCCAAGTAATTTTAAAACCTTTATATTGTAATTAAATTAAAGAGCGGATATGAAAAACAGATGAGCATCATTGATAATAATTTATATAACATGGCATTATTAAACATTATTGCAGTTTTTAAATATGAATAAAAAGCTATATGCTGCTTTTGTGAATTACACTAATCAATAGGCGTTTGATTATTTGGTAAGAGATGTTATTTGATATAGATTAATCTAATTTGGAATAAAATGTTATAAATAATTAAGTCCGTGTATGAGAATGTAAGGTTACGGGTAAAATAAATAAATAATGTTAGTGAAGAGTTTGAATGCAGTTCAGGACTATTTCCTATTTCATTTTCTATGTATTTAAACGTATAATGTTAAATTAACTGTTAACTGTGCAAAGACAAAGGCTTTGATTTTTTTCTTAAAAAGGGGAAGGCGCAGACTTTGACACTTTTCACTTTGATTTTTTCTTTCAAAGACAAATCACTTGAAATAGATAAAACGTGTACATATTGGTTGTACTGCAGGCGGATCTTTTATTAATAATATGACTTTCGAAAAACTTTCTTTGTACATTATATAAACTGGACCTGTTTGATAAACGTATTGTACCAATTTTAAACTATGTATCGCAGGTATGGTGATTGATTAATAGCCATGTGTTAATATATACATCGAAAGTATTTTAAGAAATTATTAGGAGTTGAAAAATAAAACACAAAATAGTTTTTTATCTATGACGAATTAGGGAGAACATCTTAAAAACAACAAGATTTGTTAACGTTATAATACACTGGTTAAAGTTGTAAAAAATATGTTAAAGTTGTGTATGACCTTATGTGTATAGAATTACAACTAATTTAAAATAAATTCAATGTCCTGGGGTATTATGTTTCAGACTTCATTTAAGTATGGATTAATCAGGGTGTTGAAGATGTAAATATGTTTTAGTACTGTAGTGAAACAAAGATTAACAGATTCATTTATACAAATTGGTATACAACACTAAGAGATTCATCAAGAGCAACAAGTTAGTTATGTATTGTCTTGCGATTTTGGCTTCCAATCATATATCTGTCAATGAGTAATATTGAAAAGTTTAGGAAATCTTTATCACGTGTTAGGACTTCTTCACATAGAAACTGGTAGATTACATTAAACCATAAGCAATGATATATTTGCTCTTAATAAGAAGATGGACTTCATGCGTTATTGGAATGTCCCCTGAACAATGTTTTGAGAAAACAGCTTATAAATAAATATTTTTGGAAAAGTTCAAATACACGTCAATATATTGAATTGATAACAATTAAAAGAAAATCATCAATGTTATTTTCAAAATGTCTGAATTAAGAACAAATCTTGTATACTGTAAATTATATTTGGATGGTTAATGTAATGAATACTTAAGGGAATTTTTAAATTATGTGAAACTTTTTTGCTTTTTAAAACATAATCCCTTATGGGTTTTATAATAGGGTTTTATTCTGTTTTAAAAAAACCAAACGTCAGTCTAAATTTGCATTTTAAAATATATGTTGATTTGTCGTCGTTTCCTTGATAAAATTTTTCTATATGTGCGCATATTTTAAAAGTTTTAAAGCTACAAAAAAAGCTTAAAAATTTTGGTTTTAAAAATTTTGACCTTAAAACTAATGAAAAAAGGCCTCCCCACCCTTTCCCCGGAAACACATTAAAAATGGTGTTTCCCAGTGTTGAAAACCCAAGGCTTTGTTTTCAATCCTTTCTTCTTCTTAAACTTTGTTTTAAATTTTTTTAAACTTCAAAAAATCCCCAAAAGTGAATTTTAATTATATAGTGTTTATGCTCTTTCAACACAATTAGTTGTAGGAATCTTTTTATATCAGGAAGTATTTGACACTTTTGAACTAAGAACAAAAACTTATAAAGGGAATTTTCTCCTGGTTCATATAGCTATGGAAGTCATACCATCAGTTTTAAGATTTTTATTAATTGTGTATTATCCGATTATATATATGTCATATGTACTGGTACATAGCACTGCCCTGTCTGTAACACGAATGTATTTTCTGGCCATTGCTCTTTCAGGAATAAGATGGCAATATACAACAATGTATAACTAGTAAATCCATGCTACGCAAATTGTAACAATTCTCGCCATGTTAAACAAGTCGTCCAATGAAATCATGATTGGCGAATAACATATTTTTAACATTTTGAGTCAAATTTGTTTTCGAAAAAAATGGTGTTGAGGTTTGTGGAAAATAAAGTTGCTTTTAATATTCCTTATTAAAATTTAATTATCTCCGGGTGAATTCTGTTTTCAATCCAGGCAGGTTCCTTCCCTGGAGAGGCCCAAGAAGAATAAGATCTGAACAGCAACACGAGTACGCCCACGTGTACGATCGACAAGGAAACTATTACTTCTGCAACATCCAGGTATTGCCCCAAATAGTACGCCATACTTATATGGACCACACTATCCAAAGTAACACCAAAAATTGAGTCGAATTCCCAACGTGTTCTGAGGTCGCTTTTAAACCAGTCTAATGAGCTCCATGTAACAATCTTAAAGTGAGAATTCAAATAAATAATATAGATAGAAGATCAACACCTTAAATGAACGTAAAGCTGTCGTATAAATTAAGCAAGAAATCAGAAGAATATTAGTTCGAGCATGGGACACAATTAGTGCAACATACGATCAAAGCACAACAACAAATACTTCCGCCAACTAAAAAAGATTTTGCATTGCCAGGTTCTTTACTTTTACAATTAAAAGACGACTTATAACGTAACCTTGTATATTTCATTTCAAATTAAATTTTTAAAAAAAATAAAATAAGTGTTGAAATTTTCCCCCATCCCGTACCGTTTATAAAAAAAGGGCTTTTTTAAAAAAATGTGTTTTAATTTATAAAACTAAATTCCCCAAAAACGAAAATATCATAAAAAAAAGTTTTCCATTAAAAGAACAAGTTTCTGCTTCCTGTCAGCATGGACCAGTTGCTAAATTTTTATTTTGAAATCACTACATACTCGAATGGACTGTTCCAAGTTTCAAGTGAACACTTTTTGGCAACCATGAATAATCAGTATTATTTAAACAAGAGGGCCAAACTGGCCATAGATCGCTCACCTAACACTTCGAACTCATCCAAGCAATATTCTGATCAAGTCTCATGACAGGTTAGTCAAAAATGTGACCACTAGAGTGTTAACAAGGATTTTCTATGTTTGAGCAGTGTCACCTAGTTTTTGACCCCAGGTGACCCATATTCAAACTTGACCTAGAAATCATCAAAACAAACTTTCAGACCAATTTCCAGGATATTTGGATCAAAACAATAGCCACTAGAGTGTTAACAAGATTTTTTTTTGTATTTTTAGCTCCTGTGACCTAGTTTTTCATTCGAGATGGCCCATGTTCAAACATATCCGAGCAATTACCTAGACAAGCATCATGACCAAGTTTGATGAAAATTGAGTAAAAAATGTGACCAGCAGAGTGTTAACAAGGTTTTTCCATATTTGGGCGGTGTGACCTAGTTTTTGACCCCAGGTGACCCATATCCAAACTTGACCTAGAAATCATCAGAACAAACTTTCAGACAAATTACAAGGATATTTCGATCAAAACTGTAGCCACTAGAGTGTTAACAAAGATTTTCTTTTTTTAGCTCCTGTGAACTAGTTTTTTCATCCAAGATGACCCATGTTCAAACTCGTTCGAGCAATTTCTTATGCAAACATCCTGACCAAGTTTGATGACAATCAAAAATGTGACCACTAGAGTGTTAACAAGGTTTTTCTGTTTTTAGCTCGTGTGACCTAGTTTTTCATCCGAGATGACTTATGTTCAAACTTATCTGAGCAATTACCTAGACAAGCATCAAGACAAAGTGTGATGATGATTGAGTCAAAAATGAGACCACTAGAGTGTTAATAAGGTTTTTCTATTTTTAGCTCCTGTGACCTAATTTTTCATTCAAGATTACCCATGTTCAAACACCTCTGAGCTGTTACGTAGACAAGCATCCTGACAAAGTTCGATGATGATTGAGGCGAAAATGTGACTGCTAGAGTTTTAAAGAACAAATGTGGACGGACGATGGACGACAGACGACGAACGACGGACATTCAACAATCCTAAAGCTAGCTCGAGCTAAAGAGATAAATGTCTATAATATCAAACTTATTATTTTCACGTACATAATGTGAAGAATGATTGTACGATTTCCCTTAATACAAAAACTAACTAATTACACTTACATATGTAAAAATCCCGGAGATAACCGACCGCAAAATGTGTTACATAGAAGTTATTTGTTTGTTGTTGTTAAATAAAGAATTAAATTACATCTAACACAAAAAGTTATGATTCCTTTTTCTGTGATTCTTCAGGTTTATCAACCTGACATTTATACATAATGAAACCCAATTAAAAACAGAAATTCATCAACCTGACATTTATACATAATGAAACCCAATTAAAAACAGAAATTCATCAACCTGACATTTATACATAATGAAACCCAATTAAAAACAGAAATTCATCAACCTGACATTTATACATATTATAGCATAAAATCGGCTATTTTCCCCTCTTTTGCCCATGTTATAACGGGACCAAAACCATGTGTTAACATAGTCACGCGCTCTTGTTATAGCCCGGTTTCATCTATGCGCAATACATACAGGGCCCAGTAAACAAACAAACAAAAATGACGATTTGGCCTGTTTGCCAAAGAGTCATGCGCTCTTGTTATATTGAAATTTATTGATTCGAGGGCCTCAGACGCATATTCAAGTAACTATGCCGGAAAAACGGCGTATAGACATAGGTGCTAATCTTGGTTGTCGCCCTTTCTAAGAAACGGACAGTTGTCAATGTAAACAAATACAGTAGAATCTACCTGTCATTCAGTTTAACACTCCGATTAACTTACAAAACTAGATAACACAAAATTAATATGAGAAACTGTTTTTTATTTATGTTAATGTTGATAAATGCTCATTATATTTCTTTAAGAGAATAATGCTTAGTGCCTGACTTTTTTTATAAACTTGTTTGCTTGAAAAAAAAACCCGATTCTGATGTCACTGATCTTTTTTTCTACCGTCAATCTGAAATCATTCTAAGAATTTCTGAGGGTCATGTTTTGTCTTGGGTAGAGGGTAAAGTAACGTAACGTTTTATTTTTTTCTTGAGATAATAAATCTCCAAAGGCCAAGCTTTGTTAAATCAATTAAAATTCAAAATTTCGTTTGGTTCCGAGAATTTTCCAAGTTGTTGGCCCCGGAAAAATGAAACGGATACGTAAAACATAGAATTGGATAAATACCGTCCAAGCACAAGAGTTTAATGTAATTGTGTTTTGTATAAACTATACATCACGAATTTGTTTGAAAATTTTATGCTATAATAGCGTCAACGCACGTTTATTTCGTGTTATAAAGTCTGCAGAGTCCCTCGGAACTGTTGGAGCCCTCGCCCTACCGGGCTCGGGCACCAACCGTTCCTCGGGACTCTGCAGACGTTATAACACGGAAATACGTGCGTTAACCCTATAATGAAACCCAATTAAAAACAGAAATTCATCAACCTGACATTTATACATAATGAAACCCAATTAAAAACAGAAATTCATCAATTTCAGCTTTGTGTTGCTGCAAACAGTCCTGATTATGTCTGATTGTTTAAAAAAGCGAAAATAAAAGTGAGGTACATTGTACCACATAGTGAAATAATTTCAAAAAATAGTCATTGAAAAGTCTAAACTTATATTTTGATTATGTTCATTGTGAAGTTATCAAATATATATAATTTATCATTATTTGTCTCAAAAGCAAAAAAGTGAAAGATGGCTCTAAAACCCTGATTTGATGATTACATTAAATTAACAATCTATTTTCCATTTTATAAGGAAATAAACAGGCCATTCAAATTTTGTTATTAAATGGTCAGCGTCGATACGCTTCAGATCAACCGAGAAATATTGTTAACTTAACACTTGGTAAAAAATGTTTAAATTATTTATGTTGTATCCGTGGACGGAAAAGCCAAAGTAGAACGTCTGACTTTCGATAACCAGAAATGATTTGACCTTTAACTTTTTTTGTTTACCAGTGGAAGCATACCATAAAAGTGTTTACACCTATCTTGTAAGTATTTTAACATATCTCAAAGTAAAATAACTTCATTAGTCAAAATAAGCTTGTTCTTACATTGACTATTACCATTAACTCTTCAATGACTTTGATGATCATCTAAATGCATCAGTTATTCATTTATCCAGATTGTTAAAACTATGAGAGTCATCGTTTAACAGTGACAAGATCATAATTCCTCTATTGTGAGGACTCCTCCGAGGTTTTCTTGACATGACTGGACTAAAAATATTTTAGATTGATATACCATTTAATGTAGATCTAGAGCAGTAACCTAAGTGCAATATTTCAGATAAATTGCTCACTCGGTTTTTCAACAAATGTTCTAAATGACCCATAATTGGTCAAATCGGGCAACGAATATAACACCCCTTCCACCTTTTCATCATGTTACATCTGTAAACTTCCTGTAATATTTACCTTTCTAGCCACCCAATTCTTCTCCCAGAAGATGAAGTAGAATGCATGCGTAATGACATGACAAGCAGCTAGCCATTTTAGCTTCCCCGTAAACAGCATTGATGATGAAAACATTGTGAGAACCTCGACCAAGAAGTAGTACCTAATTCGGACCAAATCCTCCCGCGGAGGTAACCGCACTCGAAACAAAATCAGTGTGTGACCCCATATATGAAAGCACTCTAGTGTAAACAAGAAAAATGCTATAAACGTCTGTAAAAAACTTCCCAACATTGTGTCCGTCTGTTCGTTATTTACTGAAAGAAAAAAATCATGTGAAATTAGTGCAATGCTTTTAAAATCTTAATCACAATTTACCCCGGTGGTCAATTGATGTAACCAATTTAAAATGTTATTGTAGGTATAAGCTTGACGCCCGTTATTATAAAGCTATCCCATCTAAGTTTCGTATTATATCTAATCTAGACGAAGACAATATACAGCCAATATAAATAAGATAAATCAACATATCTCCAATAGTGTCAGTTTTTATTCTTAATACATAAACTTAATAAAAATAATTAAATATAAAAACCACCAAATAAAAAAGTAAATATTACATCCCGATAGTCAACATTGAAATAATTAAATATAGTTATCAATAAATGCATCGCATCAATCTAGATTACTTACTTTGTTATCACCTGAGTAATAAGCGTCCAAAATATTGGTCATGAATTATAAATGTCAAACCGGGAATATGGTCCACATTGCATTTTGTTATCTCCTAATTCACACCAAGAAGTTATACATGCATAGAAAGAATTAAAGTAGAAATAAAATAGGAAGAAATAAAGAATCCCTAAAGAACGCACAAAACGAAAAAATTGATAATGTTGCGGACTCGGTTTGATTGAGCCTGTTCATGGACGGTACTGGGAAATGCTAATTACCGTCCACGCCTCCAGCATCGGTTTAAGCAGTATTCAACATGAAATGGTAAAACTTGGAATTTTGAAACATCCCCAGATGTTTTCATGCGGCAGTCATCATGGAACCTTCAATGTGCCACATTAGTGCCATTCCATATAAAGCGACGTATTGCCCCAAAGTTAAAGAATGTGTGTGTGTTAAACGAAAAACAGTCTGCGGAACTAAATAACATGGAATTTTGAAAGGGAATCAGAGGTTATGATGCCTGCATATCACAGATAAGCTGTCAAAAACAATTAAAAAAAGCAGGCCACATATCCTTATAAAGATGATTAAAAAGTATTCAAGTGGGAAATACTGGAACCACCCAACTAGAAAATAGTCGAATAGAAAGAACTAAGAATACCACACGCACAGCTGAACGATCTTTAAGGATCGGAAATTAAACACTTACCAATATGAAATCCTTAACAGGAATACTGCTTACTTTGATCAAATGGTTACTGAAATATTTGTATATAGATTGAACTTAAATTGAATGAAACAAACACTTCAGAGGTACTAAAACTTTTTTTAAATATATACATTCCTATCATTAACAATACTATAGTAACTAAAATCTAGTAAAACAATGATGACTTTTATTTCGATAACTATCCACATTAAGATGAAGATGTACCTAATGCAATATTTTATGGACTATATTTTTCTTAGTAAATTAGATTTGATCAGGCGTGCAGTCGTATGGATGTTTTGAATTAGTGCAATTTGGTTTTATTACTGGCAAACTACATAACGTTATCATACATTACAAAAATATGTCACAAAGTGATACCATCGAAATTAAAATTTATCTGTACCTCATGGACCATCATATGGGGTATATATTTCTTAGTAAATTAGGCAGTCGTATGAATACATTTTTTGTTTTTTACTAGCAACCTACTTAACGCTAACATACATTAAACAATATTTAACATAGATCTATCATCGTAATTAAATTTTATTGTAATTTAAAAACTCTTTTACAACTAAGTATAAGCAAGCCTGATTTCGTTGGAGATGTGGTTTATTAACTTAGTAGGATTATTGGCCATTCACTGTCTTCACTAAAATTATCAAACCATTTTCTAAAAGAGCATATGACCAAATATTTTTAAGCATACCGTTAGATTGGTGTTCAAGCCTTTTGCAGTTGGACTCTATGCTTTCCTCCATTGATTACATCCGACGGACCTAGTAGAAAACTCTATGATAGACAGTTCTGAAAGATATACTATGCTCGAATATGATATAAGAAAATATTGATAGTTGCTACAGTCTCTTTGTAAATATAAAATAGTTATGGTTTGACTTCACACAAAGTAGATATGTTATGTGTTATATTCTACACACTATAGATGGTCACACAATTAATATATAGTGTTATTAAAATGGTAGATTTTTTTTAAAGAAAAGACAAACTATAGGGGACGCAGTTTCCCGTATACAATTTATTCATTTTTGTATTTAAATTTCATAGATCAATACATATCTGTGATTTAAATATTTTACTTAAGGATGAGCGTAGTATATTTTGTAAGCCTTTCGGTCAGACGGACTGAATTGTTTTAATTCTGTCTGCTATTTCCATTGTATGTGATTTTCCTGTTGCTCTGTCGAGTACTGTTGTTATGGTACATATTAAGATGATCACTTATGGTCTAATGTAACCATGGCTATTGTTAGAATTTCACTTGGCATGGATTCATTTTATGTACACTGTCTCGTCATATAGGGACATATTGGGGCTAAGAGTGAGATTTGGCACGTCTAAAATCGTTTTAAATTTACATATGTCTTATGTATTGTTACATGTTTTTAATGTTTGCAAGTTTTGTGATGCTCTATCTTGTTACATCATCGTTAACGGTACGTGTTTTCTTTCCATTCCCAACTTTATCTCATTTGCTGTTGTAGTGTAACGCCCAGATCTGAATAACTCAATATTAATAAGTCAACACAATATCAAGTTTAAAATGTCATATATATGTGTTTATTTAGTATAAGATATTATTCTATAAAACAATTGTTTAATCAGTGTCTTTAATAATTTCACAATTCTTAAACAAATACGTAAAGCAATAAGAATTAATGTCAACTGCGTATCTAGCATAATTTAACCTGAGTGAGTGAGTCTATATAACATAAAAAACCACACTAAAGAATGTGATATTTTGCTTACCTTAAATAGTAAAAATATATACGCCTTAAACTTTATTAACCCATAAGTCATAACTGCAAATATGCGTTTCCGGACAGCTAACAATTAAGTTAACAATTATGTTTACTCCCTATCGGTACAATCACCGCTTATGTGATGACATGCCCATCAATTAACTAAATTAGGCATATCTTACTCGTGTGTCCGGTGACAGCTACTATCATAATTAATATCCGCCTATGTTTTGTTGACTAATTACCGTCTAATTACCGTTATCCTACACTGTCCTGCCACCGCCCCTTATCCTTACACTCATTGTCCCTTTAACCCATTACGCGATATACACACCTTTTAACGCCTTTTTCACACCCCCCTTTTTGTGGTCTCAAATGGTGAAAAAATGCCTTATTTAGGCCCCCAACACTTGTTTTTGTTTAAGAAATGTTGTTAAAAAGTGACCACTTTTTCGGCGCGGCCCCCAACTAAAAGAAACATCAGGGGGTTGCCAGAAGGGGTGTGTGCCCCCTTCTGTTTGGGAGGTTTGAAGGGGGCGTCAGTCCCTCTCATCACCAAGATAATTTTGGACTTGTGAGAGGCTAAAAATGACCCCAGATCAATCATAAGGTAACGTGTAACCAACGCTGAAAAGCATTTGAGTCTATTTCAATCCACTGAGAAGTTGCAGCACTTTAAAATCAATTTTGATGGAAAAAATCAACGCAAAATAGTGATATTTGGCAATTTTGAGATGTTCCCTCGTTGCCATGGTAACAGAAAATTTAAACCATGAGCATGTTGTCGCAAAGGCAATGGTCTAGAAGTATTGAAGCAGTTTTTATAGTATTACATGTGTGTATAGCAATTTGAACTTGTAACGGGAGACTTTTGAATGAAAACAGCCATTTTTCACAAAATGCTCATGAAGTCATGGGTTAATACCGGATCGGTCCTTATTATTTTGGGTTTAACGGCACATAAGCACATGACTGACCATACCGCGCCGAACACTAAGATTCTTTAAATAAGGTAGTGTTAGTATAAGGTTATAAATCTTAGAATACAGGTTTATTTCTTTTAGGTAGTCGATAAATGTTTTGGAAGGAATAGAGTAAAAAATTTCATATAGATCATATCAGACATTAGGAAACAAAAACAAATATATATGTGGTTAAGGGGACATCATTGAAAATTATGTTAGGAAGGCCTTATCCAAGTCACTGTGAGCTACTCTTTATGTTCCTTGTAGCTTTTGATCATCCAATGCCATATTTAGATAACATCAAATGCATGATATAAATAAAGTCAAAGGATACATTGTATGCGTTATTTATACTGTCCTTTACAGAAAGCAGTAATGTAGATATTTACATAAGCAATGTACTATGTTAATGTTTTAAACACAAAGCAAATATTCATTGGAAAACATTTACAGCATATGCTAAAACAAAATGAATTTGCATTACTTTAGGATCTGATGCTTTAAAAGATTTTAAATATGACATGTTGTTGGTGTTTCATATATATGTTTAAATATTTAATATAGTCGACTACTTAAGAAGAAAAAAAATGTTCATATTGATTTTAAAAAGTCTTTCATATTGCTATAACACATGTACAAATTTGCATAGAAAATAATTGCGTGTTTCGTTTCAATTATATTTTGTACGTCTTTGAGTAAAATTGATTAGGGTCGGCGAGAAAAATAAGGGAAGGTCGGGTTCCCTGAACCACATACGGACATAATCCCCTTCGGACAAAATCCCCTTCATGTATTTTTGTATATCTGGACATAATCCCCTTCATGGGTGGACATAATCCCCTTCATGTGTGAAATTTTGAAGTGGACAAAATCCCCTTCATAAAGTTGCTACCTCGGTTAACATCCCCCTTAGAGGAATTTTGGTTTATAAAGTGGGTATGAGAGCGACATACTGCATTATGCTGTGTGGTAAATATCTTAATGTATAAATAAGTAGAAAATATTTCGGCAGAAAAGCACATTCAATTAGCACATTTTAATCACATTAAAATTGCTTTGTTAAAGCATTCATAACAATCAATCGAGTAGTGCAGTGATCTTGTTTTGATAAAATTATCACTCTTTCTTCAATAGAAATTGTAACAATGGATAGTATATATCAATTAGAATTATCAACTTATACAATCAATGAAACAATTATTGGCTAATAAAAATGTTTTTCATAATAATTTAAAATAATTAAAGAAATTGCCTAATCAAATATGTGTTATGCAGTTGATAATTTACCATAATTTTAATGAAAACTTTTAAACTAAATAAAGGTTAACTATTGATGGATTATTATAAATAAAAAAACAAAAGTTCATTATTCATCAATTTTTAGGGAGTATAATAATACATTATTCATCAATTTTTATGGAGCATAATAATACATTAGAAACCTATGAAACAAGGGGATTTTGTCCGGGTAGTGAAGGGGATTTTGTCCAGCCTTGCAAAAATTTGAAGGGGATTATGTCCACCCATGAAGGGGATTTTGTCCGGGTAGGTGAAGGGGATTTTGTCCGAAGGGGATTATGTCTGACATTCATATTTTTGACCTAATGTACTTTAACTAACAAAACGATTAGCTAATTTATCATCTTAATATATCAATCGGGAAGGGGCCAATTTCTTGTCAGGTGACTTCGGCTGCCTACATAATTAATAAAAATCAATATATTTCCTGGATAGTAATTTCGTTCTGGATGATCAACGGTAGATAATGTTACGATAATTTTACCATTATCAAATAATGACATGATTATAAGCAGTACAATCTGTCTGTCTGTCTGTCAGTCAGTCAGTCTGACGCTAAAATATAAATACAAATCAATTTAGAGTATTACTAGATATGCCCGTGTTCTAATCCACTTGCCTCTGAATATCGAAGGCAAAACGTTTAGTCTTATGTAAATAACTATGATTAACTGTAAAAAATATTTTAATTTACTTACTCCTATAAAACTCCAAAAACGTAATTTATTCGTGTGCAACTCCTTCCTAACACCGCGTACAACTGTTGGTATTCTGATGCGGATAAAGAAAATATAATACTTATGGTTAAATAACATACATGCCTTTTGGTTATTAAATTTCAAACTTTTGAAAGGAATTGGACCGAGAGCTACAATAGCTCATGGTAGTCCTCTCCTTTAACAAAAGCAATATGTTCATATAATACATGGCGTATTATAATCTTAATTAATCATAGTTAAAGCCTATAAAGAGATAAAATGAAGAAAAAAAAATACCAATTGTAAATTATTAACATTTATATACTACCTTCAATAAAAATATGTTTAAACCAAACTTTTGAAAAACGTTATCTAAGTTAAAGCTATTAGATAATTTACTGCCGTCCATGAAAATGCACCATCAACTTACTTGTGTTTCAATTTTGTCATACATGTCATAGTTTTCCATTTGTCTATAATAGGAGGAGATAAGCTTGTATCATGTATGACTATACAACCGGCCCACTTCTAACCCGACGCTTGTATTATTCGTTATTGTTAGGATAATTTGTAAAAACACTCAATCAACGAATAATTAAGCATACAACACTTATTGCTTCAAGTTCTATTAAAAACCTGCAAAATTAAGATTAATAAAATGTTTAACGAATTCACACGAAACCATGGGAGGCTTGCTACTTTATTGGTTGGCCTTCC